GGATCAGAAAAGGTTCTGACTCTCTGTGAAGTGGAGATCTACGGGTACCGCGCCCCAACAGGTGAGAAAGTTTAGGCTACATTTTGTTCTGTGGTTTGATTCTTCTGCAAGGCAACAGAAACAGACTCAGACATTTTGGTTCATAAATTAACATGATTTATTGGCTGCACATCCCTCATCCTAAGATCCCATTACATCCCAAAGATAATGTGTTGGATTGAGATCATGTGGTCTTTTGGATTTGCTTCTTGGAGAGCCAAAGTTTACCAAGAAAACATTTCCTCCACCGTTGTGTAACCAACAGTAGCTTGAACTTTAGATTCAAGAAAGGGCAGATCTGTGCTCTCCTGTTGTTTACACCAAATCCTAATGAATGTTGGAGCTGAAATTAAAGGCTGATTGGGCCAGGTAATGGTGTGGTCATCTGCTGAAGAATACCATTGGTTCTGAGGTCAGAGATGAAGTTATTTAGCTTATTTATTTATTTTTCAATTATCTCAAACCACTCAGCTGTCCCTCCCTGGATGGATTCTGTCTTTTTAGACCATAAAGCTATAGACATAGTCATTAGTGAAAATCCTGTCAGAATATAAGTTACTGAACGACTCAGTCGTCCTCGTTTGGCACCAATAGCTCTGGCATTTTTAAATTAACTTATGTCTTCTTACTTGACCATTCTGATGCACAGTTTAAAGATCAACAAGTCATCTTCATCAAACCGAGATACCTATATCTGCCATTCGATTGGGAAATTAGATTCAATTCCAGGGATATGCAGGCATGATTTCAGTATGTTTTCTGAAAGATGATGAATTACATGTAACATTAAATCATAATTCTAACAGGACTCAGCTGGAATTTAAGCGGGACATTATCCTGGAAAAATCAAGGGTTTAGCTACATTTCTGACATCTAACAGAAATAACTTCGTCTACAACTCACGGACCACGTGTTCTACCAGACACAAATGAATGCAAAGAAACAAATCAAAACAACAGACCAGGCACAATGAAACATGGGTAAAAACATGACATTTTTGGAGCTGAGAATTACAAAAACTGAAAAAAACATTTGCTTCTTATTGTAATTCCTGCTGGGTTTTATTATTATCCTTATTTCCCTTAACAGGTGAGAACCTTTCTCTTCAAGGCAGAGCCTCACAGTCATCACTGCACAGTGTTTATCTTCCATACAATGCCATTGATGGGAATCGTGGCAACCAGTTGATTAAGGGGTCCTGCTCACAAACATCAAACGACTTCAACCCCTGGTGGCGATTGGATCTGCGCAAAACGCGTAAAGTGTTTTCCATAAAAGTCGTCAACTAGGATTCAGCTGAAGAACGACTCAACGGAACCGAGATCCGCATCGGAGATTCTCTTGACAACAATGGCAACGACAATCCCAGGTAGTTTTCTAATAAATTTAATTTTCCGATTTTGTAAAAGGAAAGGCAACAATGTTAGTTCTGATGGAAGTCCAAAGCCTCTTGGGGCTGCAGTGACTGTTAGTGGAACAACCCTTGATTTTATTTGCAGGCTTTATTAACTCTCAAAAAGCCATCACACTGGTGACAGATTTTGATGGCCACCTTACTGTACAGGCCTGTAAATTATATCAGAATTTAATTAACTGGCTTTCAGAGTTCTGCCACCTCTTCACCACCATCTGAGTGTATTTATAACAATATTTAACCCTTGTGTGTGATGCTGGGGTATCAGACCCCGCTTGGCATAACACCTGCTGGCTTGTTGTTACGTGTCATGGTGGTGGAGTTAGTTCATAACAACAAGGATCAAGTTGGCTTCCTCTGTGTTACAGCCAGGAACACAGAGGAGCCAGCTAACCGTGTTCACTCGGCTGCATGCCGGTGTTCTGTCTATCTGTCATACCTCGTCAACCCAGCATACCTCGTGGTAATGCGCATGCGCACATCGATGTTACGTTTCTTATAAATCCGTCATACCTGTAGAAGTTTCATTTTGTGTGTTTTATTTCTCGGAAGTTTACGGTAAATATAATTAAAATAAGAAAAATCTAGTTATTTCCACGCAGTGTCCAGAAAGAGGTGTTCGGCTTGTTGCCTAACAGCTTCGGTCAGCATCCAGCATTATTCATGTGCTATTTTTAGGACATATTCCGTGCAGTTTTCTAAAGAAATATTGAAATATTAAAAAGGTACATTAGCTATAGGGACAAAATATCCCGACCAAATTTGTAGTCAAACAGTATTTGTAGTAATAGTGACGCTAAACGGGACTAATGTCTTGTTTACAATTTGGTAACAATATTGGAAACAGCAAAAGTCTTTTAAGTTAATATATTTGATAAACATAGTAGCTTAATTAAATAAAATGTACTGTAAACGTCTGAGAAACATAACACACAGGTATGACGGATTTATAAGAAATCTGCTGAGTAAGCAGTATGTGACGTAACATCGATGTGCGCATGCGCACCGTTGCAGCGGCAGATTGGCTTCCTCTGCGTTATAACCAGTAACACAGAGGATGTAGTAGTACAATTTTTATTTTTATTTTTTCCAATGTGAGAGCTCATTGACATCAACTGTATCGCTTCAGACTGATAGACACGAGGGTCAAAAATACTGTAAGTCTTGAAATTATAGTTTTTATTAATTATTTTATGGTTTATTTGTTTTTTTTAATAGATGTGGTGTGATCACAGTTTCTCCAGGAAAGAGTCTTTATGAGTTTGACTGTAACGGGATGGAGGGACGCTACGTAAACATCATCATCCCCGGCAGGACCGAGTACCTTACGCTTTGTGAGGTTGAGGTTTACGGCTCCACGCTGGAATAAAGCCTGCAGTGGCAACAAGTTGCTGTTTTGGGTTACAACTTGCAACATAGCAAACAGCAACACAAAACAACTGTATTATTCTGCTTAATAAAAAGGCTATTAATTTTACTTAAAATATTCTTTTGCTATTTTATTTCTAAAACAAATGGGATTTATATGGGTCATGTTTGTTAGAAAGAAAAAAACTTTGAAACTGAAAAAAAGCTGTTTTGTCAATTTGAGCTCTTTGCAGAAACATGAACTGAGGATAGATACACAAAACAGTCAAGCACTTACTGACCTATCCAGTCAGTGAAGAATTGTCTATCTTCAACAAAGAGAGATATATAATCCTTCCCAAGACAGCAAACATTGTCCTATAAATAACACAACATACAGACACTTTTGCATTTGAATATCTGCAGTGAGCCAGGATTGTCCAAATTCAGCAATAACAGTTTCTAAGCCTCAGTCAGTCTTAATCTCATTGACTAAATGCAGAAGTGTGTGTGTGGCTTAAAGACTTGGAGTAAGCAGGTTGTTTAGGAGATTGTTTCAGATACACTGTGTCACATTTCACTTTGTCTTCCTTCGTATGTAAAACACATGAAACCCCTTTCACAAGATGCAAATTATGGAAATCTGCCTGAAGGACTACCACAGACAAATTCTTAATCCAAACAGCCTGAGTCATTAAGAATTGAACCCAATGCTATTATATGAATCATTTACTTTTTATTTAAAATTACCTGAACAAACAAAAATGCAATCATTTAAATGAATTCAGATCACCAGAAGGTCATCTATATCAGCATTTCATTCACTAAAAATGTGTGGACAAATAATAATGGCTTTCCAGGCAGTACTTATTATTTATTGCTTCTATCCTGTTTACATGTCAGATATTGAGACGTTACAGCCATAACAAGATTATGTATTTAGGCCAAGAAGTTACCGTCACGCTTACTGTGAGAAGCAAATGTGGAAATGGTCACTGCCAGCGTCATTTCCTCAGTGTTCCTCCGTTTATGATGTTGTGAAATGTTGTGAAAGTCACATTTAAATCAAGAGGTGAAGCACTGCACAAATAAACTAAAACAAACTGAGAAAACTGAAATAACATTGAATAAGAATGGATTTGTGTACAGCTCATAGACAATCGTAACATTTAACCCACTAATTAAACTGTTTAAAAACCAATTCTACCAAATTCTAAGGAAAATCTAAGATGTTGAGAAAAAAATGGTTGTATCTTTTGAGATGCATAACTATCAGGTTTTGCTATCACAAAAAACATAAGCAGTCTGTTTCCTATAAGTTAGATGGGCTTGAACACCTAAGATTTATTTGACGTATATACAATGAAAACTGCTGCAATTTATCTATGTTTTGTTTTTGTCTTGTAACCTTCAGCTCCTACTGTTCACACATCTTAAATCAAGAGGGTTTTTAAGGAGTTTCCTTGTCAAAAACGTTCCCGTCAGACTGCTTCTTCCATCGCAGCTGCACGTCCTTGGCACCGGTCTTACTCACTCTCAGCTTCATCTGTCAGGAAGACAGAGTGATGTTCACCAACCAGACCTGTGTGCATGCAGTGTCTTGTTTTGCACACAGGGTGCAACAGTTGCAACACTTACCTGCTCCAGGACGCTGTCTTGCACTGCTGTGTCATTTATATCCAATGCTGAGTTCTGCAAGTTGATCCTCACTTTGAAGTGCATACGTTTGGTTTCTACAAGCATAGAATTGGAATACTAGCGTGTTTTTTAAATTTGAATTTAAACACAACATATGAAGCTACAAATTGAAATGATTTGGGAACCTGGGAGGCAGGAACAGAGGAAGGGGTGCATCTCGGTGCAGTCCAGTCCTCCCCATCTGCTGGATTCGTTCTTCAGCAACACCCCACAGCTGTCAGCGCTGTCGCTCCACACCGACGTTCCCGGTAGCCAGTTTCTGAAGGACGAGTCGGCCCCGTCCGACCACGCCCAGGAGTCCCTGAAGAGACCGACCCACACTGAGGCGTTGACGGCTAAACTCTGGATGATCTCCAGCTCGGCGTCGTTCCTCACACTGGTCAGGTCCGTGTAGAGGGTTCGGCAGTATTCCAGAGCATCACTCCAGCCCCTCTCTTCATCAACCATAACATACTGGTCCGTACCTTCTTTTGTTGCTAAAAACAAGAAACAAATGTATTTAAGCCTCAAATACAGAAATAGAGTCAACATGAATTAAAATGACTTAGGAAAAACCTTTTTAAGAATGAAAATGTGATAAAGATTATAGAAAAGACATATGAAAGAGGTATAAAAGAAAAGTTTGCTTTTACTTCAGCTGAATAATCTCAAAGTGAAAGTTTTTCATGATTCTATTCTTAGGTATTATAAATGGCCTGTGATGCAGAAGATCTTCTTCTCTTCCAAAGAATCTGTTAGCATCCACTGCATTATAAAATATCAAACTAAAATTTGATTGCAATTTGATCTTTTTGTAGGATAATGACACGACATTGCAGAACAAAGGGATTTTTAAATCACTGTGAATCCAAAACATTAATTGTTACACAACAGGACAGGATTATGATTTCCTAATTTATTTGAAATTGGAAATTAATGTCCTATATAATTCATGTTACTTTTTTCCATTGGTAATATGAATTGAACACTCATTCTTGCTGTTTTATACAATTTATTTAGAAATCTACTTTTGAGTAAAAGTTGTTTGATGTTTGAGGTTCTATTCAGCATAAAATTAATAAATCTGATTAAGAAATTAGACAGAAGTTGTATCTAACTTTTTAAAAATGTTTTTTAAAGGGGAAAACATAAAACAAACAAACATAAAACAAAAATTTAAAAAATTCAAAGATTTGCAGATACCCAGGCCACCTTTAGTTAAAGATGTACTGGTGTGTGAAACTCAATATTTGCTCAGTGATCCAAAGCTCTAAATCCTGAAATCTCTGAGATTAACTTAATAAATGAATAACTTAATATTTCTTCCTGCTACTTTTCCAACTACGTTTTATTTATTTTCTCTTGTATTTGTTTTTATTCATTTCTTTTCTGTTTTTTGTTGTTCACAATTATGTTTCTAATAAATAAATGAAAAAACTTGACATTTAAGTGTGACTAATAGTCTTACCATCAAAGCAGATGAAAAAGAGTTTTTGATGACAAGCAAGTGTGTAGAATAATTCCTGTTCATAATACCCACAATGGTAACTTTGAGGACCGTCCCATTGATAAAAATCTGTTTCTCCTTCCTTGTAGAAATCTCTGCCAGTCAGAGACCAGTGCCAGCTCCTCTTTTCTGCTTCGAAAAGCCCAAACCACGCATCATCTCGTCCGCTCTCGACGAGCTTCATGACTTCATTCATCTCCTCCTGATAGTAAATGGTGGCCAGATCCAGACAGTTCTCTCTGCAGTAGATTCTTGCGTCCTTCCAAGTTTTTGGAGTGGAGAACAAGACGTAGCGGTACTGAGAGGCAGCCAGAGATAGAGAGCACAGGCCTGTGGCACAAAACGGCATAAATATCTGACTGTCAGTGTCTCTTAAAATAAATGTTTTTGATGAGAAAAGTTTCGGTACATGCTGACCTGCCAGTAGAGTAAGAGACATGAACCTTTCCATGGCAGCTATGACAGTCTGCAAATGGGGAAAAAAGATTATTTCTGTACTTGGACACTAAAAAGTACTTTTCACCTGAGAGTCAGTAATGAGTATTACTGTCATTGAAGACAGAGAAACAAAAGGAGGAGTAAATTTTAGCCAAAGATTTCAGAAAGTTTCTCGAAAAAATCTTGGAAATTTCTGAATTTGAAAAGTTGAAAATTTGCTATGAAATAACGCAGAAATTTTAAAATTAATCTCAGAAATTTTCAAGAAAAAAACCTGGTAACTTCTGAGTGTCAAAAGTTGAAAGCTTTCAACTTTTGACACTTGGAAAATTTCCAAAAGTCGAACATTTTTGACTTTCCTTGTATTTTCTAAAATGTTTCTGAGATTAATCTCAAAATTGTTTCCAAGCAAGTTTTCAACTTTTCAAACTCAGAAATTTTCTTATTTTAATTCTTAAGATTAAAAGTTTTTTTTTTCTTTCAAACTCAGAAATGTCTTTATTCTTTCTTGAAAACTTTTTTTTATGACACTAAAACTCTATAACTCTGGGATTTTAAAACATTTCTATAAATACATAGTAAAGATATTTTTTAAACAAACGTTTGCATCTGTTCACGTTATTATTGCAGAGACAATCAAAGAGTCTTACCAAATATCTGGTGGCGTTTCAGTTTTTTCAGCTGTGCTGTCAGCTCAACACTGGACAGAAGTGGATCTGTGCAGCTTTAAAGGCCCATGTCTTGGAGCAAACATGTGATTTAGGAGGTGATGTTTCTGGTACGTGGAGTTAAATTTTACTATTTGTTCTCCTCAATATGGAAAACACATGAAAATCCAGCAATGACAAATGCAAACTTTGTTAATCCTTTTGAAAGGTGAATCAAAGACAGAGCCTTAATCATGACAGAAAGAGTTACCCAACAATGTAGAGTTCATACTTATTTAAGTGGTGACAATTCATCTAATTGATTTAATGAACTTTATTTGTACACATTACTGTTATTGAAAGACTGTTTTGATTTACTTTGGGCCAATTTACATCAACACATGACCACATTCTTGTAACAATGATAGTGATAGTTGCATGACTCTTTCAATTATTTTTTTCCTTACAATTCTGCCGTTTTTTCATAAAATTTCTAATTATTCAAGAACAAAGTCTGAATTTTGAGATTAAAGTTTGAATTTTGCTTTTTTTTCTAATCAATAATGTATACCTCAGTATTTGCATACAATAAATATTTATATTAGAGAAAGAGAGATGAATAGTTATTCTATATCAGTATTTAAATTTTATTATTAAATACCTGAAACTAGTATAATATGGCCTTTCTGATTATCACTGATGAGGGATTTCGGTTATGAATTAACTTTCTAGACGCCCATGGATCTGATCATTTTTACAAAATACAAAGGGGTGATTCGGTTGTGCATTTTATTGGTTCTATGGGTAGCTACTTGATTATACAAATTTTTTACTCTCTTATCATCTTATATAAAGCACATAATTCTAAAAGTAACGTCATTATTCCGACACACAATGAGTTTTTTAGTCTTTTGTCGTGGCGCCACACCCCCCTTATTTCATGTGTAAATGGTACATTCCGTATGACAGCTAGCCCAGAGCTAGCATAGGTACCCGAGCATCACCCTGTTAGAGAGAAGAACTGCGGTGCTTGTGAGAAAACTGGTGACAATACTGGTGCCATTTCTAATTTATTTAAAGGTGTAAACAATCACCATGTCCACCGCAAAGAAAGGAGACTTGTCCCCAAGCGAAAAGGAGTTGTTTCAGGTTATTTCTGCAGGTAAGC